AAATACTATTCAAATTACTATTAAAAAAATCAATGTGAACATTTTTCAAAACATCTTTTGCATTACACTGAAGAACGAAAATCCTGCAGATTTTAAGGAAACAAATTTTAAATTGAGCAAATATTCATAAAAGTATATGATTAGCAAGCCTTTGAAGATTAAAAAAGAATAAAGACAAAAAAAGTAGTTTTTTTTACTCATGTTTTATTTATTTACTTGCTAAACGTCTAAACTGAATGAATGGGGGTCGCTGTCCGTGGTGCTGATCTCTCTCTATCTCTCTCTCAAACACACACAGAGACACACAGATCTTTCTCTCTTTCTCTCTCTATCTCTCTCTCAAACACACAGAGACACACAGATCTCTCTCTCTTTCTCTCTCTCTCTCTCTCTCTCTCTCAAACACACACAGAGACACACAGATCTCTCTCTCTTCTCAGTGTTTGTGTTGCTCTCCTCGCGGATGAATCTCGCAGTGATGGAGATCAGAGTGGCTCGTTTTCGCGTTCGCCGGAGATAAAGTGATTTTAAGGAGAAATGCGGCGTGTTTTCAGTGCTGCTGATCTCACACACCGCCAGACCTGAGCTCACATTGAGACGAAGAGCGGCGCTGGGAAGTTTAATGTTCCTCAGGAGCGACGGAAACAGTCCTCCGAACATCTGAGGTAAAACTCCTCGATCTGCTGAACCTTCTTGTCTCAGGCTGTTTGTGCTGTTTGAGTCGAGATGTGTGTCAGTATGTGTGTGTTTTGCTGTTGTTTTGTAAGTGTGTGCGTGTGTTTCTGTCTGATGAGCCGGAACACAGTGTGAGGGCTTGGGCTGTGTCTCAAAACCTAGTGAGCTGACTATAATAGATTGCATTTTTGGGGGCATTATAGGCCCATTTTGAGTCAAAACGCGTGTGTACAAAAATGCTGTTGGAATGCAAATACTATACAGTATGCTCATTATTGTTTGAGACACAGCTATGAGGCTATTAGTCGTGTAGTTGATGCATTTGGGCTAATAAGCACTTGATGAAGGGGAAATGTTCCTATAAAGACTGTCTGTCAGTAAATGTAGATTGAAACGCAGGCCGGGAGTGATAACTGCATTTATAACGGTGATTGCTAGTGTTGAATTACTTTCTAGTGAGCAGTCGACTTGGACTTAATTAAATGACGAAAAGAACTGCTAGCCACATTAATTCCTATTGTGAGTCTGCTGGAGCATCACGGATATTGATAAAGCTGCTGGTTTAAGGCTGAAGGGTGGGTTCAGATGCATGCTCTCTTGACCTCTACATTAGACATTTCCCAAAGGAGGTTAAGAATAGTTTCAGTAAAGGCCAAAATAAAATTCATAATGCTGTATGAATACAAATATGTGCAGTTGTACACATTGGAATGTTGCTTCCTGTGAACCGGGAGCAAAAATAAACAGTGCTGTTTGACCATCTCAGGAGGTCAATATAAGCATTTGGGCTGTTTCAGCATGCAGCCTAATTAAATTCTTGCAAATGTCTGCCTTTTCGTGAAAACTGAATTTGCTTCTTTAGTTGTCTGGCTATTCTGTGTGATGTGAAATACGGTATCATCGTGTGTGGATTGAGCTGTTTGAAAAACTCTTGCAGCTGGTGATGGATTCAGTCGATCATATGCTCACACATTTTTAGTCTTGTCATACAGGCTCCTTTAAGATAAAGGCTGAATAGAATAGATTTTAAGATTCAGCTCAGTTCTGGTTTTGTTTGTGCATCCAGCTCCATCATTCTTGTTTCTGGTATCTGTCCGCCCTGTTGAAAGCCCCTTTAATTTACCCTCAGCTGCATTCATT